ATTAAGTGAGCATTACCCCGTGAGGGCACAACGTCACGGCATCATCTGAAATCCGGAGGAAGAGAGGGAAGGCCACTAAAAGAAAAAGGGAAGCAAGTCACTAAAGTTAAATAACTAAAAGCGTGTTTTTTTTTTACGCGTCTGGACTCCTTCAGTGTGTCAGCGGCACGGCGCGGCCTCTGCGGTCGGCCAAAAAAAAATATCCCGGCGGTCTCGCGAGAGCTTGGGCACAGTCCCCCCCCCCATCCCGGGCACGGCTTCGCTTTGCGCAGTGGAAAACCGGCGTGAAGGTGAACCGGGGCTCGCCCCAGCTCACAAGCCGCCCCGTGCTCTCTCACCCAAAGCCATCCTCGGAAGCAACAGAGACGTCGTCGTAGTGTCGACGTAGAAGCGGGACAAATAAGCGTGAATTACGACCCGGGGTGAAGGGTCAACTTCAGGGCCGTATTTTTTGCCTACAAATAAAGATGGCCGAAGGAGTGTCGCAAATGATGGATTTCTATCATTTGGGCGCCACGGTGGCGAAATGTTGACTACCTCGCTTGGTATACAGGAGTTTGTGGGTTCGATCACAATCCTTATGCCTGTAGTTTGCGAGTTTTCCCCGTGGTTTAGTGAATTTTTCTCCTGGTCCTCCGATGTTTTCCCTTCCACATTCAGAAACAACATGTGTTTACAGTATTTGGCTACTGCTATGACATTCCACTCCACAACGATGATGAGAAGCCACTTCGTTGAGCTATCATTTGTGGCCAGGTCACTTCTGAAAAAGAGATCTACACAGCTCAAGCGGGCCTTACCTGGTAAAATAAAAAAATAATTTAGTTTATGCTTGTGGACAGCCGCACTTAACCACAGCCCGCGCTAAAAATTTGTTTCGGAGACATGTTGCTTTACAATCGCTTGCCTCTGACTGTGGACGGTAGGGGACAGGTGGGCGGGTGGGGGGCGATGTATCCATGGGAAGCGAGACTTGGCACCTTGCTGGGACGACCCAGGGCCATTTCCGGGTCATTCCGGTCGTGGAAAAACATCACATGGGTCAACCGTGCCGGAGAGATGCACCGCCACCGGCCTTCGTTGGGGCCGCGGGCTGGGCCACAGAATCCCCACGAGGATGTTGCTTCGACAGCGACACCCACAAAGTGGTGGCTTCCAGGCTTGCCCCAGAGGTCGCAACCGGGTACCCGATACCCGTACCCTACCCGATACCCGGCTACCCGTACCCGGCCGGGTACGGGTACGGGTAGCCGTTTGCGACCCTGGTGCGGCCGGGTACGGGTAGGCCGTGAGTCACTGGTGAGTCACCGTTTGTCACTCATTTCGGGTAGGGTACGGGTACGGGTAGGGAACGGGTACCCGTACCCGGCCGGGTATGGGTACGGGTAGCCGTTTGCGACCCTGGTGCGGCCGGGTATGGGTAAGGAATCAAACCCCGTTTGCGACCTCTGGGCTGCCCTGCGGGTAGTCCGTGCAAGAGGCTCTTGCCTAGAATGTGAGGCAACTGAGGAGGCTACAATAAGGGACGTTTCTTGCCAGTATCAAAATATAAGAACAGGGTTTTATACCCCTTCTGGCAATAAAACAGGAAGTGTCAAGATATTAAAACACCAAACAAAAACCTTTTGCAAGGAATCCTGTGTCTGCATTAATGACATGTACTTGTGGTGAACATGCAAACACAACAAAAACATGCTCTAATAGTATATGCATTGTCTTTCTGTTTGGTATTTGAGTACATTAACACCTGTTTTATTGCCAGAAGGGGTATTCAAATCTGTTCTTATAAGCTGAGGAGGCGTTTGTTTTCCAGGCTAAGCTCTGCCCGGGTGAGTCTCGAGTCGAAACCGGTCCAGGGATTATTTGCTGCTGCAGCAGATTTTGCTGATGAACATTGGGGGGAGGGGTGGGGGGGGTCGAGATCTCCAGCAAGGCCCAAAATGTTAACGGTGCTCTATTCTACTGTTTGGGAGGTAAACAAAAGCGCCAGTCCGTTATTCATTTATGATTGTGTTCTCGTTAATATGTAACACAGATAAAGCCACGCAGGTCTGATTTGGGTTTCCCGGAACCGACTATTCATTGCAAACACCCCCCCCCCCCGCACCCCCCCCCCCCTTTTTAAATTTACCTTTCACGTCCACCGATGTTTATCTCGAAGCCAGATCTACCAGGGTCATCTTCACCCCAAGAACAAAATAACTTCACAATCAATGACCAATGCAGCAAATTCTATTGTTGTACCGTACTTCGATAACCACACCCCACTCCTCCCCCAGCTGCTGTAGGCTCCCCCGCCTTCACGAACAACCCGCACGGACCAGCAGGATGAAGTATGGTCAACCTCGCCTCGGCCTGCGTGGCGTGGGAAGACCCCTCAACCTTGCAGCGGATTGACAAGAGGATTGTAAACTAAACTTTTTATTTTACCAGTTCAGGCCCACTGAGCTATTTCGCTCTTTTTCAGAAGCGACTTGGATATCACAAATGATAGCTCAACGAAAGTGGCTTATCACGTGGAAATGTATGGATTCTAAATGTGGAGGGGAAACCCAGAGGACCCCAGAGAAAAATCCACGCGACTACAGAGAGAGAGACACGCAAACTCCAAATATACAGCAGCAGGCATCGTCAGGGTCGGGATCGAAACCAACGACCTCCTGTATACCAGGCGAGGTAGTTAACATCTCCTAGCCACCGTGATTGTGATGATAAGAGAGAGAGAGAGAGACACGCAAACTTCAGATATACAGCAGGTATCGTCAGGGTCGGGATCGAACCCACGACCTCCTGTATACCAGGCGAGGTAGTTAACATCTCCTAGCCACCGTGATGATGATGAGAGAGAGACACGCAAACTCCAAATACACAGCAGGTGTCACAGGGCCGGTATCGAACCCACGACCTCCTGTATATCAGGCGAGGTAGTCAACATCTCCTAGCCACCCTGGCGCCCGACTGTTCACATACAATGAGCACCCTGGTTGGCCAGGCGGCCCTATGGACAGCAAAAGTTTAGAGTTAAAATCCTGCTTGTGGCTCAACATCATTATCATATTCATCCCTCTGGGGTTGATCCAATTAGTCCTATCGATGTATTGACCACTGTCATGGGAATGTGGAGTTTCCACCCCACTGTCCAATTTGATCAGGGAGACATTGTGACATCATACGTCACACCCGCGACGCTTACCATCACATCGGCCCGTATTTTTTTGGGAACTTGAAACCTAAGCGGTGTTGAGAGTGGTACGAATTTCAAGTAAATCCGATGAGCTATGAAGTTCTTTTGTGACCGTTGGGGGTTCACATGGGGGCTGTGACGTGACTATGAGATGCCAGTGCCGAGTGTGAGCCCCCTCTACCTGTAGCGGGGGTTTCTCTCCCGCTACTTGGGTTTCCTTCCCACACGAATCAACCGCAACCCCCGAAAATGGAATCTGCCCAAACATCCGCAAGCATGACCCTCCTGAAAGAGTCTTAAAACTATATTCTTGGTTCTTTCGGTAAAGTCACGTAGAAGGAATTTTTTTTTTCTCTTCTACGTGACTTTACCGAAAGAACCAAGAATATGAATCCCTGCAGTCACGAAAGCTTTAAATCAAAGTCTTAAAACTCTTCAAAAGACTCATTGAGGATTCCTGGGTGAATTATTGGGAATGTGTAGAGTAGTTTAGTTTTTTTCACGCCTATTCAAGAAAAACAAGTGATAGCATCGATATTAAATAGAAAAATACAATTATTTTTTTACAAAAATGAGAGCATTTTCCCTAAATAAAATCTTGGCCTGTGAGATTCAGAATGATTTCAACACAACTCCCGCCAAGCAACAATAAAGACTGAGCGTCTGTTTTTATTTTTTTCATTTTCTTTCTCTGCTGCTTGTTTTTCTAAAAGTATATTTATATATTTTTCAGTGCTCTGCACGAGTAACAGCACATGCTGTACTATAGTGTGTGCCGGAGTGTGTACGCGTGTGTTTGTGTAGTCAAGCGTGTGCGTGTGTGCGTGTGTATTCAGTGCGTGCGAGTTCATTTCCATGCGTGTATCTATGTGTGTGTTTTCACAAGCGACCGACGCTCACAACAACGAGTGGAGCGTCGGGTGGATAAAACGTAGCGGAGGTGGCACTGCAGGCAGCACAGGTGGTGCATCTGCCAATCATCTCAGTCTGTGAACCCATGGCACCTGGGTCTGTCCCGTGACCGCCTGCCAGCAGCGACCCTTCGATACTTAACGTGGCCTTAAAGTGCACATAGCCTGGCACAAGCGCCGTGGTGACGTCACCGCCACTTAGTGGCGAATGGCGGTTGTTGAGTAGATGAGTTTATGAGTGAGTGGGTGAGTGTGTGAGTGGGTGGGTGGGTGGGCATGTGGGTGGGTGGTTGGGTGGGCGTGTGGGTGGGTGGTTGGGTGGGCGTGTGGGTGGGTGGTTGGGTGGGTGGGCGTGTGGGTGGGTGGGTGGGCGTGTGGGTGGGTGGGCGTGTGGGTGGTTGGGTGGGCGTGTGGGTGGGTGGGTGGGTGGGCGTGTGGGTGGGTGGGTGGGCGTGTGGTTGGGTGGGCATGTGGGAGGGTGGGTGAGTGGGTGACTGAGTGGATAAGTGGTGGGTATGTGAATGGGTGAGTGTTTCTGGCAAGTGATCGAGTGAGTGGATGGGTGAGTTTGTAAATGGGTGAGCGAGCGGGTGAGCGAGCGGGTGAGCGAGCGGGTGAGCGAGCGGGTGAGTGAGCGGGTGAGTGAGCGGGTGGATGAGCGAGTGGATGAGCGAGTGGATGAGCGAGCGAGTGGGTGGTTGAGCATTGCGACCTGCGGTCGTGGCGGTGGTTGAGCACCGAGTGGATGAGACAAAACAGCTGACCGGCTCCTCCAACATCGATGGAGGAATGGACGAGCAAAGTTCATGGGAACAGCGACCACACTAGGGAGACGGTGCGGATGGTGGCTGTGGTGGGGGTGGTGGGGGGGCCCCCCAATAGGGTAGCACCGCCAGGGGTCTCACCGCGTGTCCGGGATGCGAGGGCGGTGGGACGAGGGGCGCCGTGGGGGCGAGCTCGATGGCCTCCGAGTCGCTGGTGAGGGGCGCGACCTCTTGATCCTTCCCGAACACCAGGGCGCTCAGCTTAGACTTGAGAACCATCTGTGCTCGCACACAAAGACAAGGATCCGACCCGTGCAGACTTTAACGGACCCATTTAAAAGGGTTCCCGAGCCACTGGTGGCAACGGCACATTGCTCCAGTTTGCTCCACAGGTCACCTGCCGGGTGACTTGCATACAACTCGGTGCTACTTGTTGCAATGTCCCTGCAAGGGTTGACGATGGTGCTTTGTGACGGTGATGACGACGGGCTGCGGAGCGTACGCAGTGAACGAGTGCCGTGCACGTGTGTACGCAAGTTGAACTTCTTTCGCACCGTACGTAGCCAACCGTGCTAATCGGAGGTGCAGGGGAAGGACATCAAACTTGGCATACGAGAGGGTTGGTGGCTAACGTCAGACCCAGCCATTTTACTCTCCCCCATGGAACTCATTAAGGCCGAGTCGACCTAGGGGAGGCGCTGGCCACCGTTATTGGTCATGAGCGGGAATCGAACTCGGGTGGCCGGGTTCGTGACGCAGCACGCTAACCACCGTGCCACCGCTCCCAATTGAGATCGTGCCCCGCTGCGTTTTAGCCGTCTAACGCTCTTGGCGTCTCTGCCATTCCCTCTCCCATCGTTGGCGAACGGGTGCCAATGTTTGAATGCACGAGCGGTGCTACACGGTGGCTAGGAGATGTTAACTACCTCGCCTGGTACACAGGAGGTCGTGGGTTCCATCTCGACCCTGACGCCTGCTGTGTATTTGGAGTTTGCGTCTCTCTCTCTCTCATCATTATCATCACGGTGGCTAGGAGATGTTAACTACCTCGCCTGGTACACAGGAGGTCGTGGGTTCTATACAAGAGGTGATGGGGTTCGATCTGGACCCTGACGCCTGCTGCTGTATATTTGGAGTTTGCATGTCTCTCTCTCCCCGTGGTCGCGTGGATTTTTCTCCGGGTCCTTCGGTTTTACCCTCCACATTTTAGAAATACGCGTTGAAGAGTATTTGGCTGCTATACATTCCCACGTGACAAGCCACTCTGTTGAGCTATCATTTGTGGCCTAAATTGCTTCTGAAAAAAATAGCTATATAGAGCGCAGTGTTGCCTTACCTGCTAAATAAAAAAACATTGTTTAGTTTAGAGTTTTAGCATGATAAAAACTCGTTTAACACATACATATAAACGAGCACCTACCATGTTGTAGGGCGGGCGGGGAACTCTTTGTTGGCGACGCTGCTGCTCGTTCACCGCGGGCGAATGTTCACAAGACGTCCACCGAGTTCCTGGGTTCGAGTCCAGTCTTCAGCGGCTGAATTAAACAAACAAAATCGTTTTAAGCACGTGGCAGGCTTTCGCGACCAATATCATCCGTAAGAGGTTTTTGTTGGGTTAGATCGCGTAAATATATAAATGTGTCGGTAAAACCCGCCACCACCCGACACGGCCAACTAGTAAGGGTTGTCACGTGAACAGAACGTGCCAAATCGTCATTAGTAGTTAGACTTCTCCACAAATCTGGCTGTCGCCTGATGAAGCTGGTTGTAATTACTGGCGAAACGTCGTACTCAGATTGTAAATATTGTGGCTTTGCTCTCCAACACACTGGTTACTGCTGTACTAGTATAATACACTATACACTACACTACTATAGACTACACTATACACTACACACTAGTGCTGTACTAGTGACGAATTGGCCACGTTCTGTTTACGTGACAACCCTTACTAGTTGGCTGTGTCAGGTGGTCGCGGGTTTCACGACACTTTTATATATTTACACGATCTAACCCAACAAAAACCTCTATTACACTGGTCACACTTTTTCTGGAATAAGGTATTCCAACGGTTTTAATGTAATTTTGGGGTGCTGATTCCAAATCTGGCATCAGTTTTTGTCTATCACATCAGGTTTTTGAGATATCAAATATTGCTTTTTTTTTTTTTTACTGCAGAAGAAAAATATTAAATAAATGTGGATATCTACATAAAATGATATTATAAACACACTATCCTAAAAATACAGCGCCATATTTTAACACTAAAGCAGTCACTGACTCGCAACAACTTGCAATCATAAGTGACAGAGTTAATTTCGGGTAAAATCAATGAAAATGGGGTATGCCGATAGCATAAAAATGAGATGTGATAGAGCAAATCTGAGATGAGATTTGGAATCGGCGCCCTGAAATTAGTCTAAAACAGCTGCAAAAGTCCAGGCCAGAAAAAAATGTTTTTTTTGTTGACCAGTGTTATTGTGGTTGGCGTGCTGCACTACGAACCAATCGACCTGAGTTTCACGACTGTTTCCCTATTTATATTTTACCAGGTAAGGCCAACTGAGCTTTTGTAGCTCTTTTTTCAGTGTTATAGAGAATCACCCGTCATCGTCGCGACGATCACTTATGATCACGGGTACAATAATCATCAGCGCCACGATCATAACCCATTCATAAACATTCGCAAAGATCCTCGATCAAGAATATCTCTCGTATGGTGCAGCAGCACATCGTCGTCATCATCACCGCACGTTCCAGCGCGCGTCATCATCCGAGACTGAAAATCCCCGAGGTGGACTTTCATTGCATCTTCGTCAACCCGGAGTAAAAAAAAACGCCACCGAAATGCATCCTCTTCTGTTTGTGGCTTTTTTTTGTCGCCAAACAATGAGCGGCTCGGAAGCATTGGCAAAGTCACCGTTATCCACAGATACCCGTGATTTAGGCGCCACCAATAGCCACCCCCGCCCCCCAACACCCACCACCACGTAGGGTTGCCACGTGAAGGTCACGTGACACTCCGATTTCTGCACCTCCGATAAGCACGCTTGGCTACGTACCTTGCGAAAGGAGTTCAACTTGCGCGCACATGTATTGTGTACACTTCCCAGCCCGTCATCGTCACAAAGCACCACCATGAACCCTACAGGATCATTGCAACAAGTAGCGCCGATTTCTATGCAGGTCACACGGCAGGTGAATGTGGAGCGAACTGGAGTAATGTGCCGTTTCCACCAGTGGCTCGAAAACTCTTTTAAATCGTGCACTCGATGTAGAATTGCATTCTTACAAGATAATTGGTTTTTTACCCTTTTATCTGGCAACAAAACGGACACTTTTTTACAAGGAGTCATGTTCGCATAGACCACAATACCTGCAGTCGGAATGCAAACAAAAAACATAACTCTGATAATATATGCACTGTCCTTGAAGTTGATTGGTCCACACCCGAGACAGCTTTCCTTAGAGCCTAGTCTCACATGGTGTTGGACCAGATGACGTCAAAAGGCGCACTTTTGTTGCCAAATAAAAGGGTAAAAAACCAATTATCATATTTTTCACTGGCAAATGAGGTTCCAATGGTGCATTCTTACATTTAAAGTAAGAACAACACCACGTGAGAACGCGCGCAAGGCACGATGGGAGCTGTACATTCCTGCTGGTAGCGAGCACACCTTTGCGCGCGATTAAGTCGATCTGGCCAGACATTCACGATTCAGTGACGTTATCATTCAACTCGCGACACTGCAATGTCTGTGTTTGCACGAGTCGGGGAAAAATGTTGGGTTACATTGCCCCCAAACACCGAGGTCTGTCTGCCACATCGGAGGCACATCTGCCAAACTTACAACGAACTGCCAAGCCAGCAGTTTTTATCAGCTTCCTTTCATTTGGGAATGCGCGTGTGTGCGCGCGTGTGCGCGCGTGTGTGTATGTGTGTGTGCGGAATGGTGTAGCGGTTAGCACGCCGCGTTTATGAACTCGGCGACCCGAGTTGGATTCCCGCCACCAAAATCAAAAGCGAATCTCCCAACCGATCTTGGGCCTCCCCATAGGTTGACTCGGCTTAAAACGAGTACCTCGTGCGGTGTGCGAACGTCGCCACTGAAGGCGCAACGAAGTGTATTAACCATCATTATGCATCATCTGCGAACCCAGTGGATATTCAATCAAAGGCATCGCGGTCCAAATGTTTTAAATTACTCGCAAGTTAAAGGACGTGGTCGCGTCGCGCACTTCTGCCAGACGATTGCTCGTCCGTGACACGGAGCACATTTGTGATAGGCCTGCGCTGCAAGACTGTCGGAATATCAAATGTGCGGAATTAGTAGCCGTACTAGTAGTAGTAACTGTTATCATAAGAGGAGCGGAACCGCGAGTAATTTGAGCAGCTTTCGGGAGACTTCAAACGTGGCCAAAATTGAGTTCTGTTTCGCAAGTCACGGTGGCATCAGTGGCGATCCAAGCTTGCGTTTATCCGTGTGCGTGCGGCATAATGCTCGGTGGTGGAGCGGTTAGCGCGCCCGTGCTACGCAACCGGCGATCCAGGTTCGATTCCCGCTCACGGCCACCACCGGTGACGATTACAATTATCTGAACCGGTCCTGGGCCTCTGCTAGGTCGACTCGGCCTCAAATAAGTACCTGCTGCGACATGGTTCTGACCAGCCACCCCCTCCTCGTGTGCCGTGCCGGGCATTCATAGGTGCTCACTAACAGCACTTGCCCCAACAGTGTGTTAAGGCTACACGGGGGAGCTTTGTCTTTGTATGTCAATGTATACATCTGTATGTGTGTTTGTGAATGCAGGGAGGCAAATAAGGGCGAACTCCCACCCTGACCTCCCCCCCACACCCCTTCCTCCTCCTCCTCTGTACCCCCCCACTGAGAGGCCTAATATTGATTCCAGATGAGCAGAGAGCTCGTGGCAGGGATTGTAATGGGTGATGGGCGACAGTGCCCCCCCCCCCCCACCTCTCCCGCCTGTAATAATTTCACAAAGATCATCATCATCATCATGATGCATGGGATAATAGCCCCGGAGGTGTCCACTGCTACATTTCATCATTTGTTTCCTACATTACTCTATGTCCAAACTAAAACTCTTTAACCTCAACTATTGTTGTTTTACCAGCTAAGGGCCACTGAGCTAGAAAACTAACTTTTGAGAAGCCACCGGACCACAACTGATGGCTCACCCAAGTGGCTTATCAACGTGGACATTTATCGCAGCCAAACGCACGTTTGGCTGCGATAATGTGGAGGGAAAAACAGGAGGACCCAAAGGAAATCCACGTGACCACGTGGAGAGAGACACGCAAACTCCAAATATACAGCAGGCGTCAGGGTCAGGATTGAACCCATGACCTCTTGCATACCAGGCGAGGTAGTTAACATCTCGCCACCTTCCACCCTGTCTTGTGCTAAATATGCTCAAGTAGTGGCACATCTTTCTGACACAAATCTCAAGTATGATGATAATTGGTTTTTTACCCTTTTATCTGGCAACAAAACTGACACCTTTTTTACGAGGAGTCATGTTTGCATTGACCACAATACCTGCAGTCGGAATGCAAACAAAAAACACAACTCTGATAATGATATGCACTCTCCTTGAAATTGATTGGTCCACACCCGAGACAGATTTCTTTAGAGCCTAGTCTCACCCTGGTGTTGGACCAGATGACGCCAAAAGGCGCACAACTCAAGGACAATGCACCATCAGAGTATGAGAGCTCGGGGTTATGCATTTACACCATTGGAACCTCATTTGCCAGTAGCAAAAAATGATAATTGGTTTTTAATGGTGAAATCTCAAGTAGTGGCACACCTTCCCGACATCAATCTCAAGTAGTGGCACATCTTTCTGACACCAATCTCAATCTCTTATGTCGCCGTCAAGCCATTCTCAGCGAGGTCTTCCTCCCTCTCTTCCATTTTCCCCAAACAACAAGGAGATGCACAGAAATCAAACTCGCACGCACACACAACGCACATACGCACAGCGCACACACGCACACACCGCACACCGCGTTCGACCACTTCACCTCTAGGACTGTGAGGTACGGGGCTGTAGGCGAGCACCTATTAAGCAAGACCAGCACACGGCACGTGAACGGCAAGGCCCGGGGTAAGGTTCTTGTAGGCCCTGTAGGCACTTGTGTTTCGTAGGCCTTCAGTGATCACTTTCTGCAGTTGCCACTGCTGCTGCCTCGTGTTAGTACGACCGCTGATGTGACTCCGCTTGCTTCACGCGGTACTTTGTCCATAGGACAACAACGAAGAAGTTATTTGGTAATTTTTGCAATGAAAAAAACATCTCGAAAAGTGAATCTCCGATGTTAATTTCTCTCACCAGATGAAAAACAACGATTGGCACGACTCTTTGTGCCTATCTTTGCTATGTTAATATATTTATTCAAGATGATATCTTGGTTACATTTTTAACCATACAAACTACACAAAAAAATATTCTTAGGTTTTTTTCGGTAAAGTCACGTAGGTAAAAAATTTAAATTAATAAAAGTAAAATA